ATAAATGGCAAGTTCCTCACGGGCCTAAGTGTGAGTGAGCTTTTATAATACAGGCGTAAATGTACGTTCTACCTGATAAAAGTCTAGCATTACTTAATATCTTTGGGGTGGCATACCCCTGCAACGACGATATCATTTGCGCCACGAAAATATAGTCTTCAAGGATGCAGGATCTGATATATTTTTGTGTAGCCCCAGCGCCAGATGTAGGACTGTTCGGTATACCGATATACCGAAAATATCAGTATTAAATCAATATCGGTATATCGATACCGGATATTCAACCATACCGAAATTTCGGATATACCGGAATTTTTCGGTATACCATGTTAAATTTACCAACTATAGGGCGAAACCATAACCTTTATTTTACTACTGAATGGCAATTCAAAGAACTTTCTACTGCAATGATTTAGAATTTCCACTTCAGTGAGATTTTACACTGAGTACGTGCATGTCGTTCAAAACATGTTCGAAAGAGCTTTGAAATTATCGTTTTTCCTTTTAGAATTACTCAAAATTTCCTTCAAACTTCCATTAAAGAATTTTCCTTTATAATTATCAAAGGAAAACCGGTATACCAATAATATTGGTATAATTTTTTCGGTATACCGATACCGGAAATTTCTCATACCGAACATTCCTACCCAGATGGTATTGTTACATCACACATTAATGACTACGCATCCAGCATCTCATTTGTACTCAAACGCTGGTCTTGGTCATCACCCTTTGCTTTGCATGCTACAAAGTGTATGCACCAGCTATAGATTCATATGCATGTAAATGAAGTGAAACTAACTATACCTTGAAGAATCATCACCGTTTGAGTTAGTCTCTGAACATTCAGACTGATCGACGTTTCCATCTATTAGAACAACCTGTGAATTGAACATATAAAGACCTTTTTTGGTAAATTTCGTGTCGATAACTTAACGCAAAATACTTTATTAGTTTTAACTTTAACCTGCAAGAAAAGCATTCACAATCTAAAAGAAGGTGTGATAAATGAAAGCTAAAAAACATTGGCTTGAGTGAACACAAGAAAACTTACACTATCATCTGACATGGAAGGAGTCGGAGAGTTGCGTTTACTAGTCGTTGATTCGGACGATTGCGTGGCTTCGACCGTGGTTTTTGTAGCAACACTATATATAATAACACAACAAAAACAGTAAATCTACCTGATGAAAGCAATACATGTGGCTGTATCGCAATTATCTTTCAATATCATGCATAGGCATATTACTTATTATATATGCTACATGTGAATGTATAGCCACATACTGACGAAGTATTTGTGTAGGAATGAAAACTTCATTTAGTAATTATATGTTCGCCAAGTAAGACAACATATATTGATACATATACATGATGCAAGATTGTCATATTTTGGTGAAATTGGTGTAAGTATATTATATGGGAAGCCCACATGCATAATAACTTATGGGCCTCAACATGTAAATCTTTAAAATATACCTTGTTTAGAATAATATAGAATACCTTTTATTTCTTGATGATTGAGTGTGCCAAGAATCATCATCTTCACTACTAGTGTTTGTTATCAGTGTTTCATCTTCCACAATAATTTTCCTTCTGAAATGAGAAACGTACAAGTCCTAAATTTGTACGCTGCTGCTTTCTAACGCAACAATATATATTATAACAATTTTTATATTTTGAATTGTCTTGCATACTTTTTGGAGGCTGAGTCATCACCGGAATCATCACCATCAGACAAGTAAATCAAAGTAGGCTGAAAGAAAATTTAAATTATAAATTAACATATATTTCTCCATGCAAATATGTTTACCTCTGATGCACAAAATCACATGTTTACCGTTTTCTGTGTTGACGGAGACGAAAGTGGTGGTTGTTGCTTTTCATCTGAAAATGCTGGTGACGATGAACTGCACACGCTATTTTGGTCGTTCGAGCCGAGAAAAAACCCACTAATTTGTAATACAAATGAGAAACACGTGTCAAGAATAGGCTAGGACAAAATCAGACCTGTCAACTCTCCTGGTGCTGCCGGGAGACTCCCGGTTTTGATCTTTTTCTCCCGGTATCAAGGTATTTTCTCCCGGTTGCTTGTTTTAATTGTTACGAGGTAATGGAATATTTTCCAGGGTCAAATATCTGGCAAGAAATAGTAATCGTGTCCAAGCTGAAACTTACTCCATGAACTACAAGTGTTCGGCCTTTTTATCCACTTTCGCACTTGAGCAATAAGTAGATTATTGTAAGGATATATGAGATGTAACGTGGGATCTTGGAATCTAGTTGCATTCTTGCCATTTTAGCATTAAATTAAATTAAACAAGTTATTGAAGCAAATGCAATTCAGTAATGATTATAAAGCCGAGAAAATTATAAGAATTTTTTACTGTTTTGAACACTGGATATGACTTTAGTTTTGCTCTCCCGATTTTTGATAAAATCTCACAGTTTTTTAAGGGCTAAAAAGCGAAATCTCCCTGTTTTAAAATTTTAAGGTTGACAGGTCTAACAAAATAATTTGAGTTTAACACTTCAATTGTATGCGGAATAAGCTATACATTTTAATTACTGGAACTTTAACATACATACCTATTTTCTTGTGTATACATGTTTTCAGAAGTTGGGGGAATAGTTTCTCCAGTTTTGGAAATTTTCATGAGAAGAATCATTGATATTCTACACGAGACCAAAATTAAATTAAAGGGTATTGGCAATAAAAATTTATATTGCTTTATCTGAAAGAGCATGAAAAAATCTCTATCTCGTCTATTCTATCTCATTTGCTTGATGGATAGGTTCATTAACCTATTTACTGGCAGTACCCTATACTACAGACAAGTAAAATCTTCTGGTGCTGGACAAATTTAAAGGAAGGACGCATTGCCAGCTATAATGGTTAAGCCATACTGTGGTTATAAACATAAGATTTGATGCTCCAGGAAATGTAAACAAGCTATCAGTGTTTCATCCCAGTTTATATATCTATATATACTCGGAATATTGATTTCTCGGTATATACAAAATTATCTTAAAGTATAACAATCAGCGAACAAGTAAGCCACTAACATTTCTAGTAAAATTTGCCCATTAAATGTTTTAAATGTATACACAAACGTTTTGCAACTGCCCACAGCCAACCTCTTAACTTTGATAAATAAAGCTGATTATTGCGTCTGTATCATACAGCGTCGATTTGTCACTCCTGCTTAGTTTCTCATGCAAAATAATAATGTTAAATACACAGCATAGCTATATTAATATGGTTCGGCTCACCACAAACTTTCGTTGAGTGCCGATGTTTATTGTTTAGGACGTATTAAACTCTGCAGTATGTTGTTAAAATTCCGAAATGTAATACGATCCGATATGAAGTCTGGCTCAGGTCGAAAATTTCACTCAATAATATATAGACACAATAAAGAGCAACAGTGATGTTATAATATTAACATTCAATGTTGAAAGTAGAGAAAAACCTTTATAATGAAGGCTCGCCTTTGAAACCCAGTCACAGCACTTCAAATTTACGACTTGTCTTGGTAAACACTTGTTCATCGCCGAACATCACACGCACGTGAAGGATTAAAGAAGCCGACCGAAGTGCATTATGGTAAAAACTACCGGCGACCATAATGCATTGCGCTTGGTTAAACTTCAGATTTCAACCCCCATTTCAAAGATTAGGTCTGGTGCCTTGCTTGGTCGCTTCAGGCGACCTCGTTGCGGCAGCAATCATGCAAGTAAACTTTTGGCATGCATAGGTATGGTACACATACTTCTGATATTATTTTATTCTTATAAGTACCATGACTAAAGCTGTTTTATAAAATTAACTGGCCAATCGGCTTATTTTTTCATGCTCTTTCAGATGAAGCAATAAAATTTTTTGTTGCTAATACCCTTTAAACATACTTTAATACAGTTAATTTAATAACTTGCCATATCTGTATTTGGTGGCATCTCCTCAATTTCGTCGTTGATACATGCAATCGGAATTTGTTCCTTATAAGAAAAATCCCTTTCTTCAGTCTTCTCACTTAAAGAATTCAATGACTTGAATGAGAAGGTTAATATTCTTGCAAATATTGTATAACAATGTGCTAGTAAATCGAATATAAAAATTTATCTTGATATTTCTAAATCTGCCATCATTATAGAAAGCGATTGTGGTCCATTCTGTACGTCAGCACTCTCTAGCCTTTTCCACAACCACAAGCACGCTGATGTCGAAGCCTTCTCTGGAGATCCATGGAAAATTTTCACCATGCCTGTAGACATTCCTCCACAATCTTCTGGAGCAATATGCATATCCAAAATGAATAGTCTACCCAAAATGAAACCAAGGAGTGGAGTATATGGCTCACATGTATAAAGTGCAACAAATGTTTCTTCTGAATTTCGCAGTTCTTTAATTTTTTCGGTCAGTTTAGCCTTGCCTTCATCTGAAAAAACACCGAACGCGTATGATAACTCTTCCGTAAATGTATAGATCGATGAAAGCAAATTGGCGTTCCTCAATATAGTGTATGCCTCCATAACATCATACACAACGAAATCTAGCGGATATCATTTACATCTTCAGGGAGGGTTAAGATAACACTCTCAGATATCTCAGCAATGTCTTCCCAGGTAATAGTCGAACTAGCATTTGCTCGTAAAACATTTTCCGCTATTTGTAAGCACAGGAACGTGCAACTATTCGTTGCATCACCCGACGCTATATAGGAATTTAGCTGATCGATTTCAGTTTGGTCAAGTACAAGTCCTTCTTGTATTCGGTTGGTTACAATCTCACTGCATTTTTCAAAAAACGATGCTTGGCTTACTTTAAGGTGTATGTCACGTTCTGACGACTCTCTGCTAAAACTGCTTTCAGCATATGCAGGTGACAGCGAGTTTAGTACATTCAGGCTTTCAACAATGCCCTTGATATTAGGCCTTTCCATTTGCTCGAAAACAGTACATGATTCATAAATTTGCCACATTTCTTTCCATTCTTTGTGTTATTTCACACTGTACTTCTCTTGCAGCTTCGGTTTTGTGTGACATTCGACCATCTTTTCCAAACAAGCCACAGCGCTCTTAATATTTGCCTCAATTTGCATATTTAACTCATAAGGATGTTTCAATCCTGGATTAATGATACAGAATACTATCATTTCAAATGCCCAAATGTCAGCTTTTTGCATGAACGGTACTGACGCTTTTCCTGCAGACAGGTTTTCCAGTAATACTTCAGGTGCCATAAAAACTGGAGTACCTCTAACGATCCTATTGGTTTTGCTGGTTAGGATAGTATTGGTCTGGACTTCCCATGACCTACTCTCCCCAAAATCTGTTAACTTGCAAACAAGAGGCGAGATTAAACTTGCTTTTTCGACATTGTTCTGATCAGTCATCCAACAGTAATGTTGGTTTGAGACAAGAACATTTGCCGGCTTTAAATCTCGGTGAGCAATTCCTTCGGCGTGAAGGTATTGAACGCCGGATGCGACATCTTCTCTCTCTTCTCTGCAGAGCCTCCTCAAGTATTTACAAATAACTTACATGAAGTTTCCTGAATAAAAGTGAGCGTGCACGGTGTGATGGGAAGATTGAAATGAAGTTGGGGAGGCTCTGCCAGATAATGCGACGAAATATGGTTTTTGAACCAAACTAGTTTGACCTTTTTTTAAACTTGAAATCGACGGAAATGTGAAAGAAATTGAAATGAATCTTCAAAATCTGAGTATCGAAGTTCAATAGAGTCATTTTTATAAAGAAATGTTAAGAGGATATTTATAATTAGATAGCTCGTATCCATTGATATTCGTTTGCAATTTCTCAATATTTTTCGATGCAAATGGCAGAAGAAGATATTGAATTCACCCCAGTATACTCAAGTACGCCTGAAAATGAAAGTCGAAACCATGTTTTAACACCCCCGATGGTTGGTCGAACTTCGCTACAAACGATTATATACGACGCCATATTGATTGCATTAACTCTCAGAGGCTTCCTTTATTTAGCTCTTCCCATCACTCCTTGCACGCTCACTTTTCCCTCACTAGAAACTTCATGTAAGCCTCTGCAGAGGAGAGAGACATATTCTGCAGCTCGATAGAACACTCTTCTCGAAATACCCTCACAGTTAGATTTGTCAAAATGACACAGTAGCTCAGACAGAGACCTCGCCTGAAGGTCTACCCCAAAAGGCCTAAGATCAAATTGAACAAACTCCAAAAGTAACACGTACTTATTTTTACATATACCTTTGAATGCCACGATATTTGGATGTTGTAAACTGTTCAAAAGTTTTGCCTCTTTTATCAAGATTTTCGCGTCGATTTGATAATTTCCTAAGAACTTTTTTACAGTTCGCGGCAATTCCGCTGTAAAAACAGAAGAAAACCCTCCATGACCAATTTCATCTTTGTTGACAAGCTCTTTAAACAAAAAGCTTGGTAAATTCACGTCTTCGAATGCTGTAGAAGACCTAGCATATTCGACGGCCTTATCTCTTGGTGTAAAACCGCCAAAAAGAGACATTTTAACTAGTTTTCATCACAATTTTAATGCAATATGAGAAATAACCTGAAGTTCAGGCAATTTGTTTTAAATAGGGCCTGACACAAAACCTGTCTATTTTTAGACATAGTCATGCAATATGATTGACAAGTGTTGTAGATTTCATTGCACAAAAAATTTATATTCTCATGAACATGCTGCAGAGCATGCATTTTGCTCTTTAATTAAACTTAAGAATTCAAGGTACTTTCATATAATTAAGAGTTCAGTTTCTCTATTTAACCGAACAGCAAGCAAAGATTTAATTAGTAATAGTAGTGTGCACGGCTTGAATGCCAAGCTTTCTCAAGGTCTCAACTTGCTGGACGCGGATATACTCTAACAGGCTAACAACAGCAACAATGAAATTCTCAATCGCGCCACGAAGAAGGCGATGTAGCTAAGAAAACAACACCGGTAGGACCTGATATTAAAAATAAGACTTTTGCCGGTGAAGCCAGTTGCCAGAACATCTATATTCCTTATTCTGTGCCTTGAGCCCTTGACCGAGCTATTTTTAAAACTGTTGTTTATTACTGAAATCACTAAACTGTCCACATCCCGCTAAGAATTTTAAAGGGGGAAAGACGTTTGATAATTCCAAATTCAATTTTGGTTCAATCATGTGATCAAATTGTTTCATCATTTTGGTCACATGACTTCATGCTTTTGTTATCCATTTATTTTTGTATATGGGTTTCTAATTTTATTATCCAATCAGGTGCGTAGTTTTGAATTAAATGTCAGAAATTCGTTACTCAACAGTCAATTTATTCAAACGTAAAAAGGTCACAAACATCCAAACGAAGGTCAATGCTACAGAATATATGAAATATTCGTTTTATGTTCATTTTAAAGTTCCATAATCGTAATAAACAATCTATCTAGTATCTATCTTATAATATGATCTCCCTTTTAGCGAAAATATGGTCTCCATCTTGTAATATAATGAGTTGTTTCGAAGTTGACTGGGAATAATTAATAGCACTGTCAAATCGTGAAGTCATGTGACCAAAATGATGAAACAATTTGATCACATGGTTGAACCAAAATTGAATTTGGAATTATCAAACGTCTTTCCCCGTTTAAAATTCTTAGCGGGATGTGGAGAGTTTAGTGATTTTAGTAATATGTGAACTTGCAACCAATCAGATTTCCCGTCCACCAGATGGACGGAAAATCCCACAGTTTAGACAGGTTTTGTGTCAGGCCCTATTCTGCGATTAGGGCCTGAACTTCAGGTTAGGTTTTACCCATTTTAGTATTCCATGTTTTACATATTCCGACTTTTACAATTCCATGTTATACAGATTCCGGCTTTTACAATTCCATGTTTTACAGATTCTGGCTTTTACAATTCCATGTTTTACAGATTCCGGCTTTTACAATTCCGGGTTTTACAGATTCCGGCTTTTACAATTCCATGTTTTACAGATTCTGGCTTTTACAATTCCATGTTTTACAGATTCCGGCTTTTACAATTCCGGGTTTTACAGATTCCGGCTTTTACAATTCCGGGTTTTACAGATTCCGGCTTTTACAATTCCATGTTTTACAGATTCCGGCTTTTACAATTCCATGTTTTACAGATTCCGGCTTTTACGATTCCGGCTTTTACAATTCCGGGTTTTACAGATTCCGGCTTTTACAATTCCGGGTTTTACAGATTCCGGCTTTTACAATTCCGGGTTTTACAGATTCTGGCTTTTACAATTCCGGGTTTTACAGATTCCGGCTTTTACAATTCCGGGTCATTCCATTCCCCATTCCATTCCGGAATTCCCCGTTCCATGTTTTACAGGTAGCCCATGAAATCGCTTCACTAGAACATTTTTAATAATGTCTATGGGAAACTTTGTAATTTTCTGAACTAAAAGTTTATGGTTTCGAGGTGTTTATTTTATAAGATAGCAGGCGCGACAAAATGGCACTAATGTGGTTTCTCACGTCTGACAAACAACCAAAGATGAAAGTCCTTATTTCACCTTTTTGTGGCTAGCCCGTTTGCGGGCTAGCCATTATCACATAGTACACAAACGCGATGAGTGATGATGATCATGGTGTCCAGTCCGGATTTTCGTAAAGTATCGGAAGCGCCCGTATTTTTCTGCCGACATTTCACATTTGCATTTCTCGAGGCATTTGATGATTTTGATCCAGTTTGAGGACTTCTATTTCTACACTAGCATGAGCAGCATATCCGCGTTATTCCTTGTGTTTCTTTGAGCAGCATATTGCGTTATTCCTTGTGTTCCTTTGAGTAAAAGGTATATTTGCTCATTTCTATTTTTGTGTAAGTTTGCTTTTATTGTATTATTTACAACGCCATTTTGGCTTGCTCTGGTCAAAGATATATTTTTGGTCCGAATATAGATCTGGCATAATCTTATACGCGAAGTCGACGTATCAAATAAGAAATGCAGTATACAAAGGAGCCAAATCAAAAATTGAAAAATACAATATTACACATGAAAGGGCCCATTGTGGCTCGTACTGATCATACAGGGCTATTTACAGTACGTGAAAGGCCACGTACCAAACAAAAACAAGTCAAGAAGGCCAGGAGTACTGTATATTGCAAAGCAATTGCCATTTGTGCTGGGATTAACTACCTTGACTATTGCTATATTAGTAAAAAAAACTACTACCTTGACTTTTGCTAATGTGGACACAAGAACAACCTTGACTATTGCTATAGTACAGTAGTCCATGTAGATGAAATTATTTTAGTAATTTCGTTAGTATTTGCATTTTTTAGTACATATCTCCTTGGATGTATAAAAATTGTTGTGTTCATCATCTAATGTGTTTCCACATTCCTTTTGAAATTATTTGCTTAAAGTGCCCTCTGGGTATAATAAGCATCCAGCAAGTATACCCATATTCTTGGGTTTCATATGACATCACAAAAGTGATGGACGGTCAACAAAACACAGTTATCAGAGTGAGTCGATTGTTCGTTTTAGGAATTTCGTATCATTTTCTCACTCCACTACAGCATAAGCATCAATACATTTGAGGTTGACCCCCCGTCAGATTCACTGCATAATGCTGTAGTGAAACCCAAGAATAGGAAACCCCTGCCATTAAGCACCCTCTGGGTATCAGCACCACCTGGGTATAAGCATCCCCTGGGTATAAGCATCCACTAAGTATAATCTACAGAATTTGCAAAAATTAAGACAAATGCAAAACTCAGAAATGTGTGAAATGACTTTGCTTTCTCTTTATATTTTCCATACTAATTTTGCAGTCAATAATGCTTCATTTCACCTGTAACATGAACAGCCCCTACAATATTGGTTAACCCATTGTGCCGCAATGTGCCCCAGTGCACCCTACTTTTTTTACCTGTCCAGTGTCCAACGCCAGACAATTTTATTCGTCAATGGGGAAGCTTTGCAACTTAATGGGTTAGGAAAAGTAATCTTTCAAAAATGTGTTCAAATAATGCTGGAAATGTCATTTCAGAAACCTAAATTTTAAGACATTGTCGGAAGTGTGTATGATGCTGGAACACCTAGCTCCTCCCTCCTAGGAGTGCCAAGTCTTATGCATGATATGCAGTCAACCTCGACAGCTATGACAATAGCCGTTTTCACATTAGAAGACGGACAAGTCGTCTAAACGAACAAATCGTCTCAAAATCGTCTTTTAGTCGGACAAATCATCAGATGTGAAAACGTGTCGGACAAAATTTTAGACGAACAAGTCGTCTGAATTTGTTCGACTACTTGTCCGTCTGTGAAGACGATTTTTGAGAGACGATTTTTGAGAGACGATTTGTTCGTCTAGACGACTTGTCCGTCTCTAATGTGAATAGGGCTAATGTTATCTGCTGAAGCTGAGGGCTGGACACAGTAATTGATACATTGTACAATTGCAAATGCAAGAGCACATGCAAACTTTAATGAACAACAATAGACTGTTTTTGAGGTTTATCTTAACTAAAATAATGTAATAGCGAGATGATAACAAATTATAGTTTAATTATTTAATACATGAAAATTGTGTTTATTTACACCTTGTTTTAACCAAATCCAATCTCATTGGACTTCTATGCAGCTTGACAGGCTTTCAAAGTAGGTACCTCCAATGATTTTCAAATGTTTATATTGTAAACAAATTATTACAGGTGGGGTAAGGTCATTTCAACCGACTGACCCCCTGCATAGTTTTGCCGACCAAGATGGCAGTCCTGGTGACTAATAAAATTTCACACACACCCTCCCTAGGTCCGGCCCTGGTTAGACTTGTGTAACAAAGCATTCAAAAAACAAGCTCAAGCACAAATGACTGTACCCTTAAAGGCTCATCTACATAACACGACTAGTCGAATAAGATTCTTATCCTGGCATATGAAAACGATTGCTGACACCACTATTCCTGTTCATCAGTTTATGGCAAAGTTTGAAATGTGACATCTTTACACATATTTATTCGAGTACATATGCCAGGATAAGAATCGTATACGACTAGTCGTATCGTGTAGATGGGCCTTAACATTATTTGTGGCAAACAGAAGTACTTAGTAAGCGAGTTGTACAAAAATTGTCAGATAGGCACTTTCACACTCAATTTATAAGATATTAGCATGTACTTTGCCCCTGGTCTATAAAATGCATTCAGAAGTATGTCAAACTGATCCTATAATTAAATCAATAAAAATATCATATGTGAATAAAATCAGGCAATTCATCAATTATGATACTGATTACTGGTATAAATAACTATAATTCTCAAGCTGCAAAAAATGCTTAGAATATTGTGGGGGTTTTCAAACCAAAATTGTATAGAGAATTTTGATTAATTATCTTTTTACCTTAATTAACAGATTAGTATTTATAGTATAATAATAAAATTTAAATAATATACTGACAGTGACAGACTCCATCCAAAATCCAAATATTCCAACTGTTCTTTGTGTTTAAAAATATGCATATAACGCCTCCAAACGTGATTTACTTAGTTAATTGATGTCTGTTAGTTTACCTTTGAAGCTCACAGAGAAAGAGACGATATTTGACCGAAAAATTGCAGAATTTTAAATTTTTAGTCAAAATAGCTGCCATCTTGAAATAAGTACCGGGCAATTGATCTCAGAACTTGTTACCTGCACCTTGGACTGAAGAGAGATAGGAGCACCTCCTACAGTAATAAAGTAAAGCTCAGTGGCCTGAACCAGGGTGTGACATTGAACTATAAGTAGGAAGGCTAACTCCTATGATGAAGGCCTATGATTTGTTGAAGCCAACACGTGAGAAAATCAGCTTTCAAAAGGCCCAAGGCGAGTTTTGAGGAGTGAGAAAATTCGATCAGAAGTTAAAAACACTTTTTCCATGGGAATACTGCAATGATAGGTATTGTTATTTATCCTGAGCTTTAAAGTCCTTGTTTTATTCCTTCTAAAACATGAATAAATTGACTTTTTCAAGTGATGTGATTTTTGTCATTGCATCTTCTTGTTGGGCATTTATAGGAGCACTTATATGACAGCCAAGCTAGCTTTGATGATGCTTATTTTAACTGTCAAAAGTAAGTCGTGGGTACTTGAAAATAAATTTGCAAATGTATTTAATATTTTTCTATACAATACTTTACAGTATTGGTCTGCCTCACAGACACTGTGAACATCTAGGAAATCCATTAACTTAATGTACACAACAAAGTACTTAATGCCTATAGAGGTCGTATACTTGCATCTCTGGGCTGAGTTAGATAGGACATAGCGGTTTGCATGACAGTGAGTTTGTGATCACATGCGTACTGCACTTCACGGGATGGTCTCCTTACAAGACCATGTGAGTAATGTACATCATAAAATTATTACTATCATTAACTCACCTGCATGCGCCCTCAAATGACACCTCAACTTGCGGGCATGATATTTGAGCACATGTTTATCGGGTTGCCTAGCAATGGATCAAATCAAATCAAATCAATTTATTTGCCAATGACAAAAAAAATAGTTACACAGAATTAATAAAATATGAATAAAGGCAAGGTAGCCCAAAAGAAACCAAAAGGCTTATTTATATTGGGCTCCTTTGTTAATAAATAAGCAAAAAGAAATAGATCTGGAGGCAATCAGTCACACATTATATAAATTAATTAATTACAAAAGTTATTTTAATTATGCAAGGAACAAAAAATAAACACAAACAAACTGACAGGTATTCGTCTAATAGGAGAATTAAGCAAGGAATTATCAAATCAGCAATAAAATAATAGCGATCAATGTTTATTATCGAGACAATGTTAAGACAAAAATAAAAAATGCTTTAATCTAGGTTGGAATAAAGAAACACTTGGCACATCACGAATATCAGAAAGGTATATGATACAGATGTGAAAAACGTGTATCATATTTATGAATTTGATTCATACGAGGAAACAGATTATCAAAACTACTAGGGAGTAAATTATTATGATATAAATGCATAAATTTACCAAGATGATACAAATAGATTTTATCAAATTTTAGAATCTTTAGTTCACTAAAAATGGGATCAGAATGTGCATCAAGTGGTTCTTTATTCAAAATTCTCATAATACGGTTTTGAAGCAAAATAATACGTTTTAAATTTGATGGGTAAGTGGAACCCCAAACAGTGATACAATACTGTAAATAGGGATAAACAAATGAATAATATAATTTACATAAAGAAGATTTTGAAAGAAAAAACTAGCTTGGTATATAATACCAATAGATTTTGATATTTTCCTAGCAACATGAGAAATGAGGTTTCCAAGAAATATGTTCATCTAGGATAACACCAAGGAAAACGACCTCTTTAACCCTATCAATCACACAACCATTTATCATTATAGACAAATCATTATGCAATATTCATATAATTAGATTTCTTAGTATTTATCGAAAACTTATTAGCCTTGAACCACTCAGATAACCTTTCAATCTCGCAATTAACTATATTTGTTAAGGAAGAGAAGTCATTATGCGAAAAAAATACATTTGTATCGTCAGCAAACAAAATCAATTCTAAAATAGTAGAAACATTGCCACGTTGATATATAGGAGAAACAGGAGTGGACCAAGGATAGAACTTTGAGGCACTCCAGATTGAATAGTTTTATAAGAGGAACATGTATTATTATGTTGAACAAATTGCAATCGATTAGAAAGGTAACTTTTCATCCATGTAAGCACCACTCCTCGGATGCCATAATGCCTAAGTTTATCAAATAGAATTTCATGGTCTACCATATCAAATGCCTTAGAAAGATCTAGAAAAATTCCAATCGTAAATTATTTCTGATCAATAGCCGATGTTATTTTTTCGCACAAATGCATTAAAGCTAAAGTTGTTGAATTTTTTTTTCCGAAGCCATATTAATTATTGAAAAAAATACATGAATTATTAATATAATCTAAAATACGTTTATGGACGACTCTTTCCAATAACTTAGAAAAGATAGATAGGATTGATATAGGTCTGTAATTCTGAAAGAGTCTATGATCGCCATACTTAAATAAGGGTACAACATGGGCAATTTTCATAAGATCAGGAACAATGCCAGAGGAAATAGATAAATTGATAATATGAGTAAGAGGACTAGCGATTATATCCACAGAATCCTTTAGAACCGACATAGGTAACTTATCATAGCCAGCAGCCATTCCAGACTGCAGTGAATTAATTATATCGATTATTTCTTGTTGGGTAGTCAAATCAAGTGATATCGAGTTAATATAATTTCCCGTTAAATATATACGGTGCGAGATATTAGATTCAGGTATTTCCTTTGCTAGATTAATACCAATATTAGAGAAATAGTTACAAAAATTATTGGCAATTTCAGTGGGATTGGAAATTTCTTTATCATTGGAAACAAAGGTTGATGGTAATTTACAGGTGTTTTTTCTTGTTAATGACTTCATTCAATATTTGCCATGTTATTTTAATATTTGCCTTGAAATACTGTAATTGTTTGTCATAGTAAATGCGTTTAGCAACTCTTAGAGAATGAATCAATTTGTTTTTATATCTTTTATAGGATGTCTCATTAGTATAACTGGGTCTTTTTAAATACCGCTTATACTTTTTATTCATATGTCTTATTGATTTAAGAAGACCCTTAGATAACCATGGTTTTTTAGGGCATATTTCTTTTTTTACCCTTTTTAGTGGAAAACAATTCATATATGTTTCACAGTATTTAGATAAAAAAAACTCTCATATGCCTTTAGAGGATCGTAAAAACCCTTCTAAATTTTTCCAATTAACATTACTTAAACGATGTCGGAATTTAGCTGCATTTGTTGCATATTTATCACGGAATACTTTTTATGTGTCATTCCTATCCATCAATCGTGATTGAGTAACACAGAATATAGGCAAATGATCGGAAATATCTGAGAGCAAGAAGCCATTAAAAGAGTGATTGGTAAATATGTTATCGATAATCGTAGCAGTATGTGACGTTATTCTTGTTGGAAGCGTTATTAAAGTACCAAACATAATATCTAGAAATTCCGCAGTAAGTTGATGACTGTGGTGATTCAAAAGATTCAAATTAAAATCACCCATTAAATAACAAATTTTGTTTTCCTTGGAAATTATTCCCAGGAGAGTATTAAGGCTATTTATGAACTCATGTACGTTTTGTTTAGGTGGTCTATAAATAATACCAACAACGTTTTTCCCCTTTGTGTTAGTTAATATTTCTATAAACAGGGATTCGATACATGACTGCTTAGGGAAACTTAAATCCTTACGTAGTTTATATTCCAACTCAAGACTTAAATATAAACCAAAACCGCTTCCAGATCTATTATTTCGGTGGCTATGTACAAAATTATATTCGTCAATGTCAACGGTATGTGATGAATCTTGTAACAAAGTTTCAGAAATACTAATAACCGAAAATTTATGGTCAACCAAGAGAAGTAAATTTGCCAGACTGTCGAAATTCCATCCAAGACTTCGAATATTTACATGAAAAAAGGATAAGTCTTCCGAATATACACAATTGTCTTGAACAGTTTTACTTAGACCACTCTCTGTATAATAATCACAGCTGCATATATCAGAATAAAAACTAGAGGCCCGATCTATATTTTGGGATAATGATAAATTTTTGTAATTGTCGAAAGATAAGGGATTAAACTTTAAGCATGCGAGTCTGTCTTCATCAAGATTCACCCTACCATTTGTCATCTTGTACAGAGCTAATTCAAAACTGTCATCATCAAGCTGATTAAAAGGCAATTCACACATGTTCAACAAAGCGAATGAAAGATAGTATTAATTAATACACACACAACTTATCTTAAGTATGTTCCTTTAATTATCAAACTTTTCATTGAATTCTTCAAAATCTTTCAGCGTCCTTTGCGGGAAGCCATAAAATGGCGTTCTTTGCGAAAAGCCATAAAATTGTAGTCCTAACTGAAAACATAATTTAGCTGTTCTATTATTGGTCAATCCGTACATGTTGCTAGTTTCACTAGGGCACCAGTCAGTCACTCTTTAATTCTTTTAACTAATCACTCTTGTTTTGTGCAACCGATCATCAGAAAACATGCATGATCATGTATATGATCAATGTATATATTGTTTTTATGGTCTTGTTGTTTTGGTTAGTAAGTATTTAATTACCTTCACAATGTTGTGTTACCCCTGTATGTGCATGCAGGTCACTTGAAGACTACCCGAGTGCATTGTTATGTAACTGTATTATGTCTAATTCCAGATAGTTTTTTTTAACCTATTAATTTGCAAGACACTTTCCCTGACCAGTAAAATTGTCTGGCATTAGGCCACATAAAAAAAAATGTTGGTTAGCGTCCTCACCCGCCCACAAAAAAGGCCCCGCTCAGGATTTTTAAAAAAATTTTATTTTAAAAAAACCCAACTTTTATTGATCAACGGGCTCTAATATATGTAGTATTTCTGTTGACTGTAGTCAATTGTGTTAATAAGTTGCGACATTGCATGCGAAAATGACGGTATGAATCATATTTTGAAATATATAAAAAAATATCTGTACTGCGCAAGAAAATCCAGTTTCGGACCTAAAACCAAGGCGTTAAAAGTTAGTAAAAATTTAAAAAAAAGCGCCCGCTCGCCCACTTTTTGGCAAAAGCTAAGGATGCTAACCAACTATTTTTTTTATGTGGCCTTAGACAGTGTTAATGCGTGAAAGTAATGTGCATGGGGGCGTATTAATCCTTTAACACATTCGACCACCCTTAGTTTAGCATCTACATTGTGTCCCCTGTTAAATTGTCTAAAATTGTTTGGTTGGTTCATTTTATAGGAGAGAGTACACTTACAAAAAGGTGTTCGAACTGGTGCTCCAAATGGCAAACCAACTACCACCAAACGAGTAAAGGGGCAAAGAGTGATGAAGAAAGTACTGAAAGATATTAAGTGTCAGGCTGATTTCCCATATGCCAAATTGAAGTGTATGAGAGGGGATATCACTGAGCAGGAGTTTATAATCTTGAGTGAAGTTAACTTTAAAGAGAAGTCATTTGCAGAAATTGAATCTGTCCTCATTCAGATAAAAGAGATGTGTGCATTGCAAGGTTTCTGTTATACTACTTGGTTTAAACTGTAAATTACTGCTGTAATGGACATTTCCAGAAAGAAATAAAAGGACATCACAACAACATATAGGAGAGAAAAACCGGCAAAACTCTATATAATCAATGTTCTCTTTTATATATTACAGATATCCTGAGTTTACCAGTGAAGAAAACATACAGGGTTTTTAGGGGTGATGTAGTATGTGGAAAGTCCACTAAACATTTCAAGTCCTATGTCCAGCGTGCTAGTTCTTTTAAAGCGACTGATGGCACGTTTAAAGAGGGTATCACAATACTAAATATTGATTGCCTGAGTGAGTTATGCCCAATTCTCCTGGATGAAAAGATGCCACAGTACTAAGGGACTGAAATAGTGTTTCTTGACTTGCCAACCAAAGGTAAGAGATTTCATGTTTGTTTCCTAGATACCATTTGTTGACTAGTAATGGCATAGTCTCCTACGCATACCTACTTAGCGGGCTGAGCCCTCACGTAAGGTATGCTTACTTTGGCGAAGAATTCCTTTCCTCAAAATTAGCCAATCACAGCTTTACCCACGAAAATTGTGGGGCTTGACCTTTGACCTTGGTATGACAACGATATAAAATCAATATGGAGGCCGAACTCGAGGCGTGCTATGAAATAGTTTGCAAAAAATTTGGTATAAAAAATTTCACAACGTATCAGAAAACCGCATTTAAAGGGATAGTATGCCAACATAAAGATATATTTGTTAACCTTCCAACTGGTGCTGGAAAATCTTTAATATATCAAGCGTTACCATCAATTTTTGATTCACTTTATGGTTTTGAACACTTGGTTGTTGTTGTATCGCCTTTAATCAGCTTAATTGCAGATCAGGTGAAGAAACTGCAAACATTAGGAATTACTGCAGTATCTCTAAGCGATATTAAAGACGAAAAGCAGATAAGGATGGTTGAAGAAGGTGCATTCTCTGTGGTTTATGGCACGCCGGAGTGTTTCCTGAAGAACGAACGATGGAGATCTATGCTTTCAAATGAAATCTTCCGTAAAAGAACCTGTGCTGTAGCAGTAGACGAAGCGCATGTTGTCAAACAATGGTTTGTTGTCTATTTATACTTTGTTGAACCATATTGTTAAAAATATTGCTTTGTTTATAATTTAATATTAAGTGATTACTGTATTATATATGCATATTTTGTGATGCATATTTTGTGATACTGATTCAACGATGTATAAAATAATACTAATATACAATCTAATATTAATATAATTATAACAGTATAAAAATGCTTTCTGTGTTGCTTTAAACGTGCCTGAAAAAATGCAAGGGTCTATATGTAATAAACAATTTAATCGCAATTTAACTTTTTGACATTTTGTGATAATTTTTGCAGGTGTGTAGTTGCTATCAACCAGGATTAACTTTTGTTATTTGTGGACAGCAAGATTTCCATTAATTTTTGTAAACAAATATGACTTCATAAATTGAATAATTAAAATATAATGCCATTAATTACTCACCTGCACCATGTATATTTACATTTGTGAAATTGTCCCCCACAAAAATTTCACTCATTTGCTGTTATAAATTGTTCCACATATCTTTTATTTTTAACCTTAATAGGGGCACATCTACAAGTACAAAACATGCTCCATTTCGAGAAGAATATGGTCGATTACATGAGATCCGATCTTTAATAGGAACAGATGTTTCCTTCATTGCACTTACTGCTACAGCTATACGAGATACAAAGAAATGCATTATAGATTCACTCAATATGTTTAATCCATTGCACATATACCAAAATCCAAATAAAGGTAATGTGACTTATTCTGTTTCATATATTCAACAGTCATCAAAAATTGGTGACACTTTTCAGTGGATAATAAACAACATTGTCCAGATGCAGAACTCTGCAGAACGAGTCATCATTTACTGCCAAACAATTAAACAATGTAGTGTCCTTTACTCAACACTTAGAGCTCATATTGGTGATCATTTTTATGCCTTGCAAGGTGGTATTAGTGGTGATCGTCATCCTGTTTTAGAAATGCTTCACTCTTGTACGCCAATGGCTAACAAGGATTATATAATCAATTCCCTTCAAGATCCTAATGGCTTAATCAAAATATTGATTGCAACCATAGCATTTGGCATGGGTATAGATTGCAAGGGTGTTCATATTTCAATTCATTTTGGCCCACCAAAAAACATTGAAGCTTACTTACAAGAAAGTGGACGGGTTGGGCGAGATGGCAAGCCTAGCAAGTCTTTTATACTTTATCAAGGAACATTGTTGGGACATGTAGAGAAGAATATTAAGGAATACCTTAGTGCTAAAGAATGTAGAAGGAAGATTTTAATGGAACACTTTGGGTTTGGATTAGGGGATGTTGATGCCCCCAAAAATCTACACTTGTGTTGTGATAACTGTGCACTAAGATGTGCATGTGGAGAAAATGAGTGCAAGTCTTATTCAGTTAATAGCATAGTTGCCTGGGTTTCTTTTGTTTCAACAGGGTCGATTACTAACTAATCGCCCGCTGTAGCGGGCGATTAGTTCTAATCGCCCGCTGCAGCGGGCGATTAGTTCTAATCGCCCGCTGCAGCGGGCGATTAATTCTAATCGCCCGTTACCAAGGGTCACACCTTTGTCTCCCTGACGACTATGCATTAGGCAAGTGCCTCACGCACATAATCGTGCAAGGAACAGCAACAGTTAGCTCAGAGCCGTCAATAGTCTATCATCCGATCCCTGAGTTGCCGCATCATTTAAATTACGCACGTGCAGTCTCCAAATTTATACTAATATATTTAGCGTGTTTGTTGTGGCACGTTAAATGATAGATTGCGCATGCGTAACCGATTAAAGCGTAAAAAGTGCGCATGTGCAACAAGCTTTTACATCCCACAAGCAATGAAGCAAATGTTTTAGCTTAAATACGCTGATTCCAAGTAGGGCATGTTTGTCCATTTTTAAATGGGAGCGCAACTATGCTATTACAAACTAACAGCATGGCTTTTCGGGAGATTAGTGATTAAATGACCCCTTACCCTCGGCAGGTTTGCGGAATTCCCTCGGGCTTCGCCCTCGGGTTACGGGGCCATTTAATCACTAATCTCCCTCAAGCCATGCTATTACTTATAATTATCCTGGTATTATAAACCCAGATTTACCTGTCAAAGTCCCTTATGATCCAAACACATCAAGAGAGCTCACAACTGAACAGCGTCTTGGAATAAAGAATGGTTTGGTGAAATACCAAAAAAAACTACTGATAAATACTGCTAGAAAGGTTGCAAATACTAAAATGCATTTGCATGTTCCCGCAGAGATGCTAATTGGTTTTGGTTCTGTGCAAATTGATCAAGTTTTGGAAAAATGTGATTATATTTTCACAATTGAAGATGTATACAAACTTATTGAAATATGGCATCATGATCATGCCTCCTCTATCTACAACATAATATGCCAAGTTTGTGGGGACACTCCTGATGTAACAAGTAATAGTTTATCTTGTGATCTTGACAGTGAGGATGAAGATTATGAAGAACTTATAAACAAAGAATGGGCAAAATTACTTGAAGATGATGACTTGCTTACAATGGCAATAGAAAATATGTCTATTTCTCAATTATTTGGTGACAGTAATGTTGAAAATAATACTGGATTATCAGACAGTTATAATTGAAAGCAACCAGCTGACTATCACACACTAACATTGTGTTAATTGATCTTCCGTGCACATCTGTGGAATTTGGTGAGCAAAAAAACTACAGTACAGGTATATGTACCTCAAAATAACACAGTACCTCAAAACATACACAGGCATTTAACTTGTTATAAGTCAGTAAACTAAAATTGTCACCTACAACTGACTGTTGAATGTTATTGATAAGATATTTATCTTTATGGAAAATTGACTAAAGTGGGAAAATGATCATATTGTACTCAAACAGGTGGGCGGATAGGTATTTTTTGCTTTGTCATAACCAGTAAATGTTTCATGAAACAGCTGCTAAATGCTGTGACCCTAAATATAAGTTAGCACGTTTGATCTGTTATAACAGGCAAATATACCGTCAGTATATCTCAACACAAAAGATTCCAGAAGCAGTCGACATTATTGAATAATTGAATGGTATACAGTATATGGACCATTAAAACATTTCAGAACAGTTATTACTGCAGATCACCCAGGACTTTTAACTGTTTACCATCACACTTACGGCAGTCAAATCTCTCAGTCAGTCAATTTAAATGCGGCCTATTTAAATATTACCAAAAGCTTGTTGAAGAGGTCTACGACATTGATGTTCCACAAACGTTTAAAACAGTGTGTGTAAAGTGTCATTTGTGTCGTCCCTTGTCCAGTCTTTCTGTCAAACTGTGTTGTCATTAGTTGCTGTTAACCCAGTGGAAATATCACTTTTTAGTGAGCATGTGAAATTTAAATTAAATTCCTTTTCTTTTTTGATCCACATGATTAGAATTGCTCAGGACCACATTAAATCTAACGTCTCAGTGATTAGCGATTTTGAAGCGATATATCCACTGTGTTAACCTATATTTCAGTATTGCATTAGCAGGTTACCCGTAAAGGAGCAACTATAGCTCTGTGGGTTAAACCGGTCATGTGACAAAGATTGTAAAATAAAATAAAATAAAATAAAATAACATGTTCTTTGTATGTTTTGAGGTACATATAGTACTAGCTTTGTAGTACAATGAATGCAAATCTTGAGTATATGTTTGCCGTTTTTGTATGGTTGATGTGACAAATTAGATGAATGATAAGGGAAATATCTTTGGAAGCTAGTACTGTAGTAACCATTTTCAAAATATTGGCGAAAATGTCCATGTATGTTTTGAGGTACATATTGGTATAACAGGTCACATTTAAACAGCATTCAGAAGTTTGTTTTCCTACCGTATAATATTTTGACATGCCGGGAAGAAAATGGCACCTGTTGAAAGTATACAATAATACAAGAAAAATTCCAAAAATATTCGTTCCGCAAATTTTATTCAAAACGTAAATTTTGTGTATGTTTTGAGGTACATATACCTGTAACACCTTAATTCCTCTAATTTCCCTTATGTGTATGCCAA